TGTGTGTGTGTGTGTGTGTGTGTGTGAGTGTGTATGTGTGTGCGCGCGCGCGTACGTGCGTGCGTGCGTATGTGTTTGTGTGCGCGCCATGTGCGTTTTTGTACTACTTTAATGTGTACATCGAGCGTACGTAACTGTCTGAGAAAATTGCGCAGCAGAAGCCAAATTGCAATATCATGCCTTTCAAACTTAATTATGAATTACGGAGAAATGTAAAAAGCTGCTCTCATTTGACATTTTTTAAAAATGGATTGTATATGTATACATATTTTATCATTTACCCCCCCCCCCTCCCCCCCAAGCTCTTACCCATCAAGAACCCACATTAAATAAATTAGGGAGCGGGTTTTCTAGACCCTATTCATCAATCTTATGGGGCTGAATGAGATACAGAATCCGAAGAGAAAGACGAAGATACTCACTCTCTAATTAAAGTTGATAAACCTTTCCAAGTTTGAACCATTCTCACGTTTTTTGTGTGCAGCGGTAAACAATCTAATCATTTCACCAGAGATTGCAGAAATCTAATTTGGTTTTGAGCAGACTTGTGGGTGTTTGGTGGACTTTCCTTGCTCCTGTATGGTTTGCTCCTTCTTTCCTTGATCTATAGTTAGTACTTATCTCTCCTTATTCTTTTTTTTGTGTGTTTGCTACTCTTTTGTGATATCTCTAATCTTTTCGGCACTATTACTCGATCTACTTCTACTTACTTATTACAATCATATAAAAGTAATTGCATTCATATAGCCACAAACTTGGGTATGCTGTTTCGGTTCTCCACAGCGATCCACGCGGTTTCAAGGGCAGGAAGGAACTTTGTTTTCAAATTAAGCTCGTCACGTGTTTTTAATCAGTCACCATAGATCTGTTCTATATTAAACGGGAGTGCACGATCGGTCTGGTAGTCACAATGAAAGCTTAGCTGGTGTCATACAGAACTTCTGAGAAAGGGAATCTTGTTTGAATGGTGTTCTTAACCTTTTTAGCACTGAAGCGTTTCCATTTACATTGATACAGATATAAAGATAGATAGCATTACGCCCAAGCAAGAACGTTTTAAAGAAAACATTAACGTATTTCCTTTTATCAATAAAAAGAAACTGCTCAAGCTGCATATTACATCCTCTATGAACCAGCAGAAAAATGTCTTTGAACCAGTTTGGGAGAACATACGTCACCAGGAAGCAGCACAACTATCGTATCTCGGGTTTTTCAAATTTTATGAGAGGAACACAATATTAATTTTAAAAAACTAAAAACCCCGGATTTTTTAAAACCACTATATCCATCAACAGTACCTGGAATTTCAATTCAAAGTATATTATTTTCACAAAATAATCGCCTGGCATTGAGGTTTTCACAGCGCTCACATCCCTTCCCAGTGCCTTGGGATATAGTTTAAAAAAAATAGAAAATGAATAAATAAAAAGTGATTTTTATCCAGACTCTTTAAGTTATGACAATCGAGCTGCCACCCTGTGAAGTGAGTATAATAATAATATTATAGATCTACATGTACACAGCAGTGAAGGGGTTAAACTTGAGTTGGTCGCTTTTAAGGACAAGCGGGTTAACCCAGATTTCGGGGTTTCCAGAAATCTTGACCTGCACAAAAAGTAGGCATTGCCCTACCTATAGGAGAAGTTTGGTTTCGTTGGTGTGTATATTTATTTGGTTACAGAGAAAACTCTCCTTGTTTTTTTTTAAAGAAACTGAACAAGGGGCAAAAACTTTACCTTCGATTTTATCAAAACAGCATTTTTCGGGATAGCCCCTTGTGCTTAAAAGTAATCAGTTGTCTGTGGTGTTTTCAAAACTTTACTTTTGCGGGTGGTTTGAGAGCGCCACTGGTAGGTTTGATTTCTTTTCCTTTCTACTGCCGTGTCTGCCAGTCTGTTTTTCTTTTCCTTGTACTTAACGACTGCCACTGTGGCAACGTGTTTCTCTTTACATCCTCTTGGCTCCGTTCTATTGCAGATGACGGTTTCTCTCTATTCTGATATGTTTTCGTGTACTGAATATTTATTGGGGTTGAGAGGCAAAATGTAACACTCAGAGGTGATTCTTTGAGATAATGGAGTTCAAGAAGATTTTCTGGCAAAATTCACACGCAAGTCTGAAAAGTCTGAAACTTATATTGATGTTATTTTTCTGGTAAGATTTCGACATTCCTTTTAGACTGTTTAGTTCGTGAAATCAGTAGCCGCGCTCCTACCCCCCGAGGCGCCTCAAAATAAATAAAATTCGTCTGTTACGGCGAGGTCACAGCAACTACATTTCCAGTGAAGTAGTGAACAAAATAATAAACAATGTGCATGCAATGCGTCGTTTTTCAAACTGTAAAAATACAGTCTATGACGTAGAAATGACAGGCCTATTTGTATATAGAACCTTCTTTCAGAGACAGATTTTTAGTGCGGATTGAGGGTTTCTTTGTTATTGTCAATTCATATTAATTCAGTCGTACTTCCCTTAACGACCACCTGACGAAGATAATCACCTGTACAAACGACCATTTCCCAATTTCTTCCATGCGGTTAAAAAAGAATATTTCTTTAATATGATATGATGACACTGTTCAACTGGAGAGAGAGAGAGAGAGAGAGAGAGAGAGAGAGAGAGAGAGAGAGAGAGAG